GTATGAAAATGTTTCGTATATAAGAAAAACTGCTCTGTTCTGTTATACTTTTGCATTTCTAAAATTTCTGCTGAAATGAGGGAGGATTTCAATGCCATTCTCAAAATACTGTGCATCCTTTGTGAGACTTTGCCATATTTCTCTGCTTGTGAAGCAGAGAAGTGAATGGAAATGTTCTTGTGAATGGAAATGAGCAGTAACCATGAAAGCACAACACAGATAAGCTGTCCGTTGGCTCAAGCCACTATATCTCGAGTTCAGCAGTCCGTCTGTCCCTCAAACCTTGTTTTATGGCTGTAGCTTCCAATCCAATCTCTATTTGTGACAAGTCCAATGAAGGTACCATAAATCCCAGCAGTGCTGTTATGTGGGGAGGGCTGGGCAGAAGGAGACCGATGTTCTGAGAAGCTCTGCTGGGGGGGTCTCTCCTGCATCAGGTCTAAGGGAGCAGTGTAGGTGAAATGTAAATGTGAGCTGCCTTTCTAAAACTGGGCAAGTCTGCAAACCACCACTTTCCAAGCTATATTTTGAAATTGCAAGTAAAAATTATTTGTAACTGCAACCGTTCCCCTCTTTTTGTTCAAAATGCAAATTCACATAATTAAATTATTTCACTGATTTTTCCTGCCCAAACTGAGACACAGAAGTGAGGTATTGTTATGATCCTGAGTTTAGCTCAGCTGGTTAGAGCATGGTGCTAATAACACCAACATCATGGACTCCATCCCCATCTAGGCTGCTCATTTAAGTGTTGGACTTGATGATCCTTGTGCATCACTTCAGCTCAGAAGATTCTGTGAACATATGCTAAAAAACCCTTGTCTAGGTCAGTATATCTGTTGATATGCTATAATATGTTTGATTGCTATTAAATGCTGCAAAAATTAGGATCTGTGATTGTCCCAACTTTAAAGTGACAGATGTCAATTGGTCAGACGTGAAGGTTGTGGGTGTGCACAGAGACATAAATACATGTATATACTTATGAATGTAAAGTATATAAAATTATGTGAAATAAAATATAGAGCAGGTTAAGCTTGGAATGACCACAAGCACAATGAAATCACAAGTGAGTTACGAGTTCCAATAAAACTTTTATGCAGCACCATATTATCATGTCCTTTGCATCTGCTGGGTCTTCAATAGAAAATCTACTTTAGAAATGTCATGTATACAATTTTAGAATTATATGCTAGTATTTATTGTACCCTTTCATCTGTAAAAGCCAGACCACCTGTATATCAGTCTATCTGGAAAGGCCCTAAAAGGAAAAATAAAATATATTTTAGAATCCATATCTAAAATAGCATTAGTCTTCAAGCCATGAAATATCCTGTTTATATGGTCCTGCTTCTCAGAATTATCAGGAGCTATCAGCTGGAAACCTCTTAGTCTTCTTTAGAGGACTCTGTATGTGGAAATTCTATGAGAAATGTCTTCTTAAGGGAATACATGAAGTTTCACCATTGTATGACAACATCATGCTTTTACATTGTACCCTGATGCACCCTGATCCAATTGTCTTAGCTACTATGCCTTCTCCACAGGAGGCAAAAAGGGAGCAATATTTATATCCCTCAGGTATATTTCCCACTATTACTCTCTTGGTACTGTGGATATTTTATGTAGATTTGCTTGACTGTTGGGGGATCTTCTCTGTCATTTGAGAACTCTTTAAACATGTGATGCTTGCTTTCTTGGTGCTTTCTAACTGTTTTTGAAAGCCACTTAGTAAACATGTGTTTAGTTTCCCACATTTTAATTTTTCTTATTAGCAGAAGAGCCTGTGTATTTCTAAGTTTTTTCAGCCTGATACTTAACAAATTCATTTATGTTCCAAGAACCACCTCTAGTTCCAGGTGTCATATGATAGGAACCAAGATGAATTTTGGTCGTGTGTCAGAATCACTGCTTTCTGTTGGGAGCTTCACACTCCTCTTTTCTAGCATCTTCTTGGGATTATCAGAGCCAGTACTTTGCTTTATTAAGAGAATCTGACAAGGAAGCTGATGTTGCCTATCAGAATTACAGGTGCCGGAGAGGATTAACAGCCATGTTTAGGTTGTATCTAGTGAATTCCTGCATCCTGCTGAGGAAATCACTGCTCCCAAATTAAGGACCCATTTTATCAGCATAACTGCAGTGTCCAACAGTACAGTGTATTTCCCTAGTGGAATTACATAGAGTAGAAATTAGGACTTGTGTGCACATATTCGCAGACACCCTTTCTTAATTTAGCTTAATGGCACTGGTGCCAAGAGAAGTGCTCCAAGTTACAAATTCCTTGACTTGATTCACCCTATGAAGCTTCCACAAATGAAAATATAACAAATGGTTGGGAGAATAAGTGAGTTATTCTCAATACTGTTTCTCAGGAGTTTCTTTTGTTTATCATGTCAGCTCCCCATCCCTTCTACTTTTTTTGTTGTGTAACTTTGAATAACCATAGGCGGCTTTCAAATATTTCTGTTTGCTGACACACGGAGCCTCACTTTTCAGCTCAAATGACTTCCATTGCAAGCTGTTACTGATCCAGTAATGTTTTACATAAGCTTACATTCCAGTATATTTTTCAGTTTCAGCAATCTCCTGAAGCCTCTATAGGACTTGTAAACTGTGGATTTAGACTGGTGTTTCTAAGGAATATTCTATCACCACTCAATTTCTAACCACCACTCATTTTTCAGTTTCAGAAGTTGCTGAGATCTGTAATGTTTCTGTTTTGTTTTATTAGGGATCTTTAACAATCTCCCATGTTACATAGGGAACAATCTCCCATCTTACATAGGGATATAGTTAAGTGCTTTAGGAAGAAGGTCCTTGGTGCAGTTTCAGAACAGGTCTATAATCTCAATTCTTCTACTAACTTGATTTGGGGACTTGAATTCTCAGGCTTGGCTTCCAGGAAAGAAAAGGTGGTGACAGGTAGAAAAGGCCAAGTCTTATGCCATGAAATTGAGCTTTCACTTGGAAGCAATTGTGCAGAGACATTTGCCTGCCTTTTCCTTGTGTCGCTGTTGTATATATTTAACTTGTGGGGGCATACTAATTCCTTGGAATTAATTGGACAGTTCATACCTCACAGAGCTGTAGCTCCCATATGTCTGTGTATACATTAAATACTTTTATATGTTGTATTTAATGTACCTTTTGAGAGATATCCATGATGGTAGATATCTAAAATTTGAAATTTGAGAGAGATGCATCTACAATGAGCATTGTGAAATCTTATTTTTCAGATACTTTTTTCCTAGAATATAGTTTACAAATCAAGGTGCTAGCATTCCGTGTAGAGTTTATAAAACCAAGTATGTATTTTACTATATCATTCAGTAGAATTCTGTATCTCTATCTGTGGGTAAGGATGTGCTGTTTCCTCCCATACCTTTATCTCACCATTCCTATTTCTTAGCCAGACTGTCTTTTAAAATATAATTGCTATTGGTGTGGAATTGTGTAGGGAATGTAACATGTTAACAGTTCCCTTAACATACTAAGGGAACTGTCATAGAGGGATTTTATTTGTGTGTTAAGGGCCCAGCTGATATGCCCTACCAAGTCTGAAGTGGCAGAGATGGCTACAAAAATGCAGGTGGTTATGAATATTAAAGCAAGAGAAACTCTTCACTTTATTCCCAAGTTAGAAAAACAGGTGAATAGAGCTCTTAGCTTCATCGTGTTTTATCTGCATACCTCAAATCTACTGATTTACTTAATATGTCAGAGTGCTTTTGTAGATCTCGTCATTATGACTTTTTTGTTGATAAATCCAAGGTTTCAGGAAGGGTTATGGAAGCTGGAGAGAAGCATTTATTATTCCATTATATACTGGTTCTATTCTAGTTCTGTGGTAAAACAACTACTAGCTAATGGAATTGTGACTTGAATTTCATCAAATTAGTAGATAAACAAATGAAGCAAAGGAAAGATAGACCCATAATGAGGTACAAGAACAGTTTCTACTCACCTTGCACAGTGATGGACAGACACCAGCCCCAGCACCAGCCTGAGTCTATCAAGGCAGATGTATTGTGAAGCTTATAATATCCTGAATTGAACACTTTGCTCTGTGTAAAAAAAAGAAAAAAGCCCCCAGGTGTTAACTATTGTCATCCCACTGCATTCAGGAGTTTTACACCAATTAAACAAATAGTGCAGGAGTAAAATCTGAGTTATCTTTGTGTTTTGTATTAGTGGTAGCAAATGATACATTGATGAAACAGGACTCAATGGATGTCTTTGCATTTCCAACAGTTCAATGTAAAGCAGAAGGTCCTTTCTGATCAAAAAGTTGTCAGTCTGCCATGAATGTGGTGGTGAATTACAGTTAGAAATGCGAATCACATAACTGTATTAACAGCTTTCTCACCCCACTGACAAAGGTTACTGCTTCCACTGCTAAGACAGTTGAACAACTCCTGAAGAACAGCTTCATGAAACACAGGGATTTTCCCATTATTGCACCAGACTTACACTTCTGTGTCTCAGCAGTTAGTGTGCAACCTTTTTGGTAATATTGGCTGCACTGCAGCTCCTGTCAGAGGTGGCAAACACTTGAATCATCTGCTTTTAACCTTCTTCCAAGAGTCAGAATATGACAAAAATTAAGGCAAAATTGGGTGAGTGAGTGAGTCTGGGAGAAGCAATGGCACCTAGACATATAAGCCCCACATGTACACAGTATTCTTGGGATTTTTTTTTCTTGAGACTGACAGCTGACAAAGGAAAGGCAGGCTAAAAAGGAAGTGGCTAAAGTGATTTAAGAGTCATTACATAATACGTTGACCACCACTTAAACTCAAATATTAGTTCGTTTCAGTCATTCGAGTGTGAAGCACCATTTTATATATCCTGAATTCTGTAGATCCATATGCAACAGCATTTCAAAAATGTGGTAAAATGTGGTCTAAAGAGAAGACCAGCAATGAAAAAAGTAAATTGGTTAAATGTGACAGAACACTAATACTGATGAATGCCCGACTTTTTTTATTTTCCTTCAGTTTACAAGCTTTGAGGAAGGAAAAGTCCCGAGATGCTGCTCGCTCTCGCCGGGGAAAGGAGAATTTTGAATTCTATGAGTTGGCAAAGTTGTTGCCACTGCCTGCAGCCATTACCAGCCAGCTTGACAAGGCATCCATCATCCGACTTACAATTAGCTATCTGAAAATGAGGGACTTCGCTAATCAAGGTGATCCTCCATGGAACTTGAGGATGGAAGGACCTCCACCTAATACATCAGTTAAAGGTATGGAGTAAATATTGTTGTGTGCTATAGAATATGGCAGCCTTTAGTAGCCTCTAAATTGAAATTTTTACCTTCATCCTTTCTTCTTTCCCTGCATATCAAATCCTTTAAAGGGATTCAAATGTGGAAATCTGAGGTCTGCATGAGAAAGACACCATGTGAAGGTGAAATAAACCTCTTATTTTAATTATTTTTATTTAACAACAAACCTATGATGTAGCTATTACAGCTGTAAGTCTTCTGGGTGATGTAGACTAAATTCTTTCAAATTATTTACCTGTTACTGTGTTGCTTTGTTTCAGTATTTTATATAAGTATATGTTTGAGAGGAAAATGCCATTATTCCTTGATTTGAGAACTCAATCTCTTCATTTTCTGGCTATGCCTTAAAGGTAGACTCACATATTTCTGAAGTTTGAAAGCATCACATCCAAATACTTAAATCTTCAGCTGAGAGACTAGGATATTATTTATCCTCTTGTAATGTCTATAGAAATTTTTTTGACTTCTGTGCCAGTAGGCATTTATGAACAAAATAGACTGTTTTCAGTATTAAAAGTTCTCTTTTAATGCTCAAACAAGCAGTTGAGGAGCAAAAGCAGTGTTTTACATGTGATTTGCCACAAAATAGAGGCTGTGTGTGTTGCTCCTAAATAGTCTTTCCAATGACCTGTGTAGAGTGGACTTTTTTTGGTAATCTATTATTTTTTCAACTAATGCTACCCATCTGGATGAGTGTGATCTCTGTCTTACAGGTTTTTTATATTAGGGACTAGGTTGCAGTGACAGAAATCAAGATTACCAAACCTGAGATTTCTGTGTGTCCTGGCTTTAGCAGTACAGAATACTCCTTTATTTTAGCTACTGCTCTCACGGTTTGAAGGAAACATATATTTGGAGGAGGCATATGAGATTTGAGCACTTCAAGTTTTTTCCATGAATCATGAACTATAAACCCTTAATCTACACTAAACCAGATAGAATGCATACAGCATATGGCAGACAAAGAAGCCACCTTTAAGGGTTGAGGGAGGAAGTAGAAACAGAATCTTATTTATCAGCCCACAGCTGTCCATGAAGGGTTACTTGTATTGATGGTGCAAAGGAATTTACCTGCTCTGCCATTTAAAGGAAGTGATATTATTTAAGGAAAGTTAAAATTTTCGGTGGATGGAGGGAGGTATGGAGGGCATAAACCAATGCAGATTCAGACTAACGATTTAGTAGCTGGACGTAATTCCATCATTTCATATATTTAATTTATATTATCTGCCACATCATATATAATTCTCATGGAAGAAAAAAAAGCAATAATTACATCGTCCAGGGCATGAGTGTAACATGGTTCATTAGGCTTCTGATATAATATGCAAATGTTCCACATTTTTACAGGATGAGAGTTTATTCTCAGGCAATTCAACATTTTTTCAAGGTAGATGTAAAGTGGACTCTGCTGTACAATCTATGATCTGTCTGTGCTTCTACAAGCTGTCCTGTGTTACTGAAACTCTGAGCTCTGCCAATCTCTGTATATTTTGAGAGTATCTGGGATCTATTTTTCATTATCCTCTTCTGGAATATATACCTGAATACCAAATCTTCCTTGTTCTGCAAAGATTCTAATGAAGAAAAGAATTTAAAGGAAGAACAAAATCTTATTCTTAGACAACAACATCACTAGTCTGATCTAGATTAATGTTTCTCCCTAAAAAAGAGCTGGGTAAACATTTAATATCTGTCCACCCTATCTGATATAATAAACCTGCCCCTCCAACCATGTAGTGCTGTGGTTCTCATTCCTTATGGTCCAAGGGGTATGGGGGCTCAGGAAGGGGTTTTGACATTTTTTTCCTCCTGTTTTGGTGCTTAGCTTAATTCTAAGTAGGATTGTATTATTTATGTGTCAGTATATTGAAACAATGCTTGATGAAAGCGTCAGTGTATAAGAATTCCCCATAAGCAGGTTTAACTGTATAGTACAGGTATATTTTATGATTTCACCAGTTCTCCTTACATAGAAACCTGTTAACACATTCTGATGAAACATTCATGAAATTACATCAAAAGAAATTCAGTTTCATTTATTAAGGCTGCTTTTTGCTGCCCTGGATGAAGCTCATATGTATAATCAAGCTCACATAAATAGCTTGCAGGTTCATGTGAAGTATGGATGATAAACCTACAATAAAATACTTGACATACTTTGTATGTGCACAAGCAATCTTCTGAATAGACTTAAAGATATTTGGGAAATTATTTGAGAGGTACTTACATTGTATAGGTAACTGCTATTTTTTTCTTCCCCCAAATGTGTTGACCTGCTTCTGTTAATCATTCATTTTAAAAGCTTAGTTTTAAATTTTCCCCCCAATACTGTACAGCAATTAAATAATTTTAATTCGGTATTTCAGGAAGGTCCTTTACTCAGCCCTGTATTTATCACAGCTTTTCTTAGAAGTCTGTAAAGGCTGATGAGTTTGTTTTCTTATGCCTATTTTGTAGTGATCACTACAAGTTGTGCTTGCAAATGAGGGCTCAAATAACTCCATATAATACTTTCAGAGTCAATTACTTCATGGAAATATCTTGAGCAATTGGAAAGTATCAGATAGTTTTCACCATTATTTTATAAATATCTGTATTGTAATAATACAGATCAAATCTGCAATGAACATTATGCATTATTCAAGAAATGACCAGGCATTCTCAGCAGTGTTTCAGCTAAACAACTGATGATTGTAACCTTTAAGGAAATCTCATTGTGGTGGCTATTGGTAAATCATTTCTCCATTCATAGTAATCTTTATTTAGGGGCGATCTAAAAACCATTATATCTTTTATTAATCTTAAAAGCAATAGTCAATGATTTGACATTTGCTAAAAATGGAAAAAAATTCCATCCTCTAATACAGCAGCATTCAGTCATTTTTTTTTTGCTACATTGTCTAAGGCTTTCTGTATATAGGAAATCTCAGTCCTTATAAACAAATACACACACAACTTATAATAGATAAGTTTAAATATAGTTTTTAAAGACTGAGGTGTAAATATATGTGGACAAAAATAATCAAGATATTACTTATCGTCAGTAGGAATAAAATTTTTAGTCTTTGAAAGTACATACAATGTGTTATCAATAACAGTACTATTCTCCCCTGTTTCCATCCTTCTAAAAGTCTTCCATTTCTGGAATATATTCTGAGGACAACAGTAAATGAGTTGCTTACCAATTTTTAGAACTAAAATCTGAGTTTTCTGAAAGTTATCTAGAAATGGAAGTATTTTAATTGTATTTTCTGTGTGTTCAGGCAGAAAGTGGTGCCTTATGTCACATGGAACTTGAAATCCCCTTGTGCATTCTGGTACTAGGCCCTGTAGTCCTGTTCCAACATCAAAATCTTGTGAGGACCTTTATGTTTTGGAATATTGTCTTCAAATTATTGACTTTAAATTTCATTGCACTTGTGGCACAAACTGTTTCTAAAAGCATTCCGAAGATCATGCAAATTTTCATATTCTTTTCCACTACATTGTGGATCCTTTTGCTAAGCCACATGTTTTTCCTTTTTTTTTTTTAGTAGTGGAAAGAGGAAGGGAGAAGAGGAGTGTGAAGCATGGTGTTGTTCTTCAGTGTGTTGAATGTGTTTGGCTGATGAAAAGCCATGCTGTGTATTTTGGTTTTGAGCAATCTTTGGGACATTGGTTCTGACTCAGTACCACTGCCACTATAAAAGTAAACTCATGACCCTTTGCCTTGAACAGAGTTCCTGACTTTTAAAATTTCTGTTTCTTTTGAAACTGAAAAAAATCTGGTAATCTGTGCCTAAGTTTGCAATCCTTGACCTCATAATTAGCCATGATGGCATTGAAATAGTTATCATTTTTTAATTCTTTTTTTTTCATTGAAGTGAGGTGTTAATTTCTGTGAGATTTTTGGAGATACAAATGTTTTTGCAAGGCCACAAGTCTTATTTCCTGTTGAATGATGCGACATGTGGAAACTAGAATATGTAAGACAACTTTGGATATGTCAAGTTAAAAGTGAGTTTATAGTTTTTATTTTTCTATGCCAAACCTTTACATTTTATGCTACATAAGTAAAAAACCTTACTTCTGCTGTAAGAGAAGAGATGATGGAGAGATTGTAGCTGAGGAGCAAAAAAGGATTTCAGTAAATAGAACTGACTGACTGGTAGGTTGTGTAAAAATGTCACTGCTAGTTTAGCCATCTCTACTTTTGGTGTTCCATATTCTGCAATTAGATAGCTTTACACATTTGTATTCTGAAATTAATATATATCAGTTGCAGGAGAAATCAGATTTTCTCAGAAGTATTTGTGGTATATTGAAATATTTATTGTCCAAATTGTTCCTGTTCAATGTACGTAAATACAACTCTGAAAAGTTCCTTGCCATAAAGCGCTTAATTTAACTTCAAGTCTGTATTGGTAGAGAGATTAAAAAAAATTGATAACCATAAGAAGAAAAACTACACTTTAAAACAAAATGGCACATTTTTCCTTTAAACTAGCATGTTTTTCAAAGGTTCCATTCTCAAGATAAACAAAGTATGTAAGTCGAAGCTGAAAATGAACTTGATGTCATATCATACTGCAGGGCTTGGGATTGAGGAAATAAGTCCAGCACTTTGAATTCTCTGGGAAAGAAAACAAGCAATAATGATAATTGGAAAGTATGGTAATTGTTATCCCAAATGTCAAGTGGAATTACTTTCATTAATTTAAATATCTTTTTCTAATATATTTTGTGCTAGATATGTATGCATTTATAAGAGATGAATAAGTTGTTCTCTTCTGCATGACCTCATTGTGGAAACACTTTAAATAACATTACCTGTTGTTAGCCTTTAATATTTTAAAAGGAAAGTTCCTGAGCAGGAAGTTCAAGATAGTGCAAGCCTTTCCCTGCTAAAACCCACAAGCCTTCCAGAAAGACCAGCCTTCTGTTCTGAGCCCCTCCACAATTCTGTCTCAGGGAAA